CTAGGTCAGTGCTCAACCGCTGAGCCACGCCTGGCCAGGCTGCAGGAGGAATTTCAAATCCCTTCAGTGAGCACTCAAAGCCCTAAGTGCTCTAGCTCCTGCTGCCTCCTTGATGGCATCTTTCCAAACTCACTCCCACCACCACCACACGCACGTGAGCACACAAATCTGCCTGTATTTCCCCTGACAAATCGAGATGTTTTACAAGTTCTCATTTTTGTGAGATGTTCCCCCTTCCTGAACTCTGTTTCCCCTCCGTCTGTCTAAGTAACCCCAGTAGAATACAAGTCAGTCACTCCAGCCCCTCCCCCTGAGAACCAGCTCTCAGCACACACTGTGTGTGTACTCTGTTCATCAGAGCTCTTCTCAGGACTCTCCTACTGGTTCATCAGCTCTCCAAGACTGGGCCCAGATCTTGTGTGGCCTGGTCACACAATGCTGCCCAAACAGGTCATTTAGTAGAAAGCACAGACTCTGGAGTCAGGAAAGGTTTGAATCCTTGCACCACCACTTACCAGTCAAGTGACTTTAAACGGGTCCAAGCCTTGGATTCTTGTTCTATAAAGTGAGGTTAACAGTTGTATTTATTTCATGGATGGGTACCTACCTACCTGTGTGAGGATTAAATGAGATACACGTGAAAAGTTTAGTACAGTGAGCAGATAAGAGGCTCCCTTAATTCTTTTGAGTTAATAGATAAATTCCAGGATGAAGTATTGGAAAGCACCCCACTTAGAGCACTCAATAAACTTTGTTGATTACATGGTGCACATGCAAAGCAGACTCCATCACTTTCACAGCCCAAAGCTTTCAATGACTTCCCATTGCCCTGATGTTAAAAGGTAGTCTCCTCAACACAGTTTTCAAGGTCTTCTCTGCACTGAGCTTTGTCTGCTTCTCCAGCCTGGCCTCCCTACACACACACACACACTCTCTCTCTCTCTCTCCTTCCTTACTATTTCAAACCTGTGTGCCATTGCTCACACTGTCTCCTCTGCCTAGAATACCTGTCCTGCCCCTCTGTGCTGGTTTTGGTGTTCCTCTCCTCATTTACCCTCACATTTAACACATAGTTTTCTTATCTGTTTACATGCCTTTCTCTCCTGATGGAGGACAGGGACCTTGGGTCCTGCCATTATAATCCAGTTATTAGTGTAGGGCCTGACAAGCAATCAAGGCAAATAAAATATTTGTGTTGAATGAGTGCCTGTGGTGTAGAGGCAACAACTGGAGGGCCAGCCTGGGAAGGATGGGGAAACCGAGGCTAAAGTGGTTATCAGTGGCTTATTCCTCATAGTGGCAGAGCTGGAGGGATATCAAAACCCACCTCATGCCCTGGCCGGTGTGGCTCAGTTGGCTGAGTGTTGTCTTATGCATCGAGAGGTCGGCAGTTCAATGCTCTGTCAGGGCACATGCCAGGGTTGCCGCTGGATCCCCAGTAGGGGGCATGTAGGAAGCAGCCGATCTCCATGTTTCTCTCCCTTTCTCTCTCTCTAAAAAAATCAATAGAAACATATTAAAAAGAAAAAAAATCCACCTCACCCCACCCCCACCATGAGCTGCTTCTGTGCAGCAACATGAATTCCCCAGGGTATCTGTTTTCCTATAGGTGGAATCTGAGTTTCCAGACACAGGATCTTCTGAGCCCTCGAGCATGGGATGCAACAGCTGCACAACTCTGCAGATTGAGGGAATATAACCGTGTGGTGGCTGCAAGAGATTGCCACATACACTGATTTTCTCAGATCTCTGAGCTGAAGTTTCTTCATCTCTTTAGATAAAGAGACCCAGACCCAGGCATGAGGGTCTTCTCCCTTGGCCCTGGGTGCCCAGGCTGCCCTTTTCCATGTGGGGTTGGAAATGGTTGGGAGCCTGAGGGCCAGCAGAAGGCAGTGAAAGAAGAGCTCAATCAACTGGTGCAGCTGCTCCTATGGCAGCCAGAGCCAAAGGAGGTCACCATTGATCTCACAGGCACTTAATTCTTCCTGCTGAGACATGGGGGCAGGGTTGACCTGAGAGCTAAGGGGAAAGAGGTGGGGTGGG